TAGTTTAATCCATCAATTCTATCAAAGCAAAGCTTACCCTTTTAAAGTGTTATTTGGTTTGTTACGCCCTACAGCTAATATCTTACATTAGAAGATAATTACGAAGTGGTTAAGGAAAGAATATTTGCAGTGATTTTCCAAGCGTAGCTTAGATGTGGTACAAGGCCGAACTCACGACTCAGTTGTAATTGCTCTAGCGCGACAAGCTTGCTAACCACTACACCGCCTCGAGGTGCCCGAGGAAAGAATATTTGTATGTGCCTTTTATAATTCATGCGATCTTCAAGCGAAGTTCTCCTAAATACGGCCCGATTTTATAACTGTTAAGCATTATCTTGCCGAAGTGATGGCTGATTTGTCCGAGTTAAGAATCTCGTATGATATGGATTTTTGAGGAAGACGCCCCTGAATTCAAACTTGCAAGCCACATCATATTTGGCAAGTTATTCCATAATTTAAGTTGGGAAACCATTCACAGGGTAGGTAGCAGCTGCCCTTCTTTAAAGGATGTATTTGAGAATTATAATGAAGCCATCCGCACATTAACGAAGAATAAAGAAGCCCTTCTGTGTATATGAAAAGGATATTAAAAATAATAACCCCTTTGAAAAGGAAAATAATGTTACGGCGTTACAGAATTTTGTCATTAGCTCTAATGCGACGACATGTAAGTTTCGTGCAACACGTGGTCCCGCCATGGCCAGGTGTACAAAATCACGAACTGATCGATGCAGATATTTAAAATTATGTATTAGATGCGCTAGTAAGAAGCATAAAAACGAAGATTGCCCTGGACTTCAGAATAAATTATTCCTTTCCTGTAAACAATATTCATCTAAGGTACATATAAAGCCACTTTGCGATAATCGTAAGTAGTTGATATCTCTTTTTATTCATGTAGGCGCCAGTACAAATCATGAAAGTGATTTGATGCTGCTTATCGTAGAAATCACATTATACTGGGGCACTAAGAAAATCTTTATAAACTGCTTATTAGACACAGGTAGCCAGCAGTAATATTTCTCTAAAAGACTATTAAAAAGTTTAAAATATCCTGACTGGATTCTAAATCCTGACGATTAAAAAACAAAGTAAAAACTTATACAAGTGAGTCCATTAATAAATTAGATCAAGTCGCCTTTAGAATAGGCATAAGCAAAGGGAGACCACTTCCTGCTCTTTGTTGGACGATAAATTTGATATTCTATTCAAGTTTAACGTGTTTAATAAAGTAGTAAGTCAAAGTCACTTTTGTTGAAGTTTTCATTTTACCTCTGAACAAACCAACTAGCGATCACCCGACCGGGAGAAGACGGCCGAGAGAGGGAGTATACAATATTTTGCTTATCTGGTGCGCAGTGACCAGCTCCTTCCAACAAGGAAGGGTGCAGGTGCAGGAGAAACCAAGTGTTGAAATTTTCGACACTCCAAAAAAAAAAAAATCTGGAAAAAGCCTTGCTGTCAGAAGATTTTCGACGGAGGACTCAAAACCTCAAAAAAAAAAAAGGCATATTTGGAATGAAAAAAAGAATTAAGAAAAAAGAAAGAAAGAAAAAAGAAAGAAAATAAAGAAAGAAAGAAAGAAGGCCTTGCTGTCTGAAGGGTGGACCTGTGAACGAAATTATATTACAAAGAAAAAAAGAAAGAATACTGATCAGAAAGAAAAGCTGTCAATGTGGAAAGCAAAGAAGCAAAATCCAAACTCCTCAAAAAAGAAAGGAAAGAAATTGAAAAGAAAAAATGAAGAAAAGGAAAAAGAAATTATGTAATGAACAGAAAAAAAAAAAAAGAAAGAAAGAAAAAAAAAGAAAGAAAGAAAGAAAGAAAGAAAAGAAAGAAAGAAAAAAGAACAATCCGTCGTGTATAAATGACAAAGAACAAAGAAAAGAAATGTCCACACAAAGAACGAAAGAAGAAAGAAAAAAGAACTGAACGCTCTGCTGACAATGAAACTTAATTTTATAAGAACGTTTTAGTAAGAACCTCTGATTTTCTTTTGTTTTCTTGAACAACAAAAGTTTAGACCATGTCCTCAAAACATCTATTGTTTGACTGATTTGACTTTGAATTTTATAAGACGTTTTTGGGACTGACTGATTTTGTTTTTTCTTTTTAGAAATGTGCGGAAATCTATTGTTTGATTAAACCTTTTTGGTCAAATTGAGGCCAGGAGGCCAGAGTTTGCATACGTAACGTCAAGTAATAACTAAATTGACCAGAAAGATTATAAATTAGACTCTTTCTCATAATAGTAGTAGTAACTAAATATACGTTCAAGAAATTCTGGGATTGGACATTTTCTATCATAAGGAAGATACCAAAATTGTTAAATGCATGAATGGCTTGGCGGGTAAAACGCCGAATGGAATTGCTTCTTTCTGGGAGAGTTTAAACGTTCTATATAGACATCAAATTACCCCTGCGGGACCTAAAGCTTCCAACGTTCACCACAACTTCCATACTATAATTTTGGGACATTCTTCGTGTACCGAACAACAAGGAGAATTTGTATTCGAAGAAAAGTTCACCCACCCTAAAATATTTCCATTATCTAAAATCGAACTTAGAGAAAATGTTTGCTGTAGGTAGATGCGCATCATCCTTCGATGAAAATGAATATATCAGTAATTAAGATAGAAACAAAATAGATAAATTCGAAAAAAATAATAGAGTTCAAAGACAACTCATATTTAGTAGAATTACCCTCGCAAAAAAGCAGGATCAAATCAGTGCAATCTAATAATCAAGTGGCTTTGAAAGTGTATTGTGTTTCATGTATAAAGAATGTTTTACAATGTTCAATTGTCTCACTTTGTTCACAAAGCCACGACTCTTTTTGATAGGTCGTTAAATTTCCCACACAGATTTTCCGCCATCCTCTATCCTCGTCCTTGTTATGTAATGTGTTTCATGTATATAGTATGTTTTTCTAATTGTTATGGGGTCCACCCCTTTTTCATACAAGTGGACTCGACCAGTGTGTATTTGTACTGCTACCGGTGAATACCCGACGAGGTAGAGTAAGAGAGAGAGAGAGAGAGAGAGAGAGTGAGTAAGAGTGTGAGGTAACCGCTTTCTAGGAGTCACAGTTGCGAGCACGTAGACTCAGAAGGAAGTCCTACTTCGATACTGAATTTCCCAGACTCTCTATATATTATTATTGCTACTAACCGCATTTCTGGATCTACTAACCGTATTACCATTTGTATTATTACGTCAATACATTTATTTGCTATATTTCATTCCTGCGTTTCTCATTCATTGGAGACCGGATTTCATCCCGGAATCCACAACAAATTGGCGACGAAGATTCGAACTCACACGGGAAGAAAAAACAACAAAAGATTTTCCTTCGTCGTACACAACACTAATTTCGTTCATCAAGCCACGACTCTTTTTGATGGGTCGTTAAATTTCCCACAGAGATTTTCTTGTATCCTTTATTCTCATCCTCGTTATGTAATGTGTTTCATGTATAAAGTATGTTTTACAATGTTCAATTGTCTCACTTTGTTCACAAAGCCACGACTCAATTTGGAGAGTCTCTAAATCTTCGTAAATTTCAAAACCACACTCGACAAAACATTTTGGTCATTTGATTCGAACCTCTTTCGACTCACTAAATTACGATGTCAAATCTCAATGTTTATGACGCCTTTCCTGCGTTTAGTCCACGTCTCCAACCCTATTTTCGACGGATCATTAAACAGAATCGTCTCCTCGGGCTGTTTCTAGAAGCATATCAGATTATCGTGATCGAAACATGTCCTCGGTAGTTCTGTAGTGTTTCAGCAAATGTCGATAGAAATTCAGTTTCACCTGTAATGCACAGAAGAGAAAAGAAACGAAAGCGCAGTAACAGCATCAATTAATCGTACGTAAATTAAATGATACGAGGAGTAGATGTTGTTTTGCAAATGTCAGATGACTGTAGGCGTACATTCGATTGTATTCATGGAAATTAGATTCTTTCTTTTACCACAGCTTGAATCTATCTATCGATCTATATATTATATCTATTCAAATATATATGTGTGTGTGTGTATGAATACACACACACACACACACACACACACACACATATATATATATATATATATATATATATATATATATATATATATATTTATTTATTAAAGACATTTTTATGTTTAACGTTGTTTTTTATAGATACAAGTATTTAAGTAAATGCTCTGTTTATGATAAACAGTATTAAATAACATTTACCGGCCTGAATGTCCGAGAAATTTTCATAGAAAATATTCGTCCTTTGACAGGATTCGAACCTGCATCCTATACGGAACCGTCATTTACGCTTTGTGACCGATCGAATAAGGCACGTCAGCGTAAATGACATTTTATCTATTTATTGTTTTATTAAAACATGAATATATATTTAATAGTAATATATTAAAGAATAAGCCGTAATTAGCATTTAAATATTAAACAATTAAAAAATAAAAAATTATTTAAAATTATATATATATATATATACTTCCGCTCAAGACAGAGAGGTTAGCATAATTTTGTGAGTTTCATTAATTATTTCCTAGTCTTCCCTCTGTCTATGTCTGTTTATCTATCTATCTATCTATCTATCTATCTATCTATCTATTTATTTAAATATTTTTCTATCGATGAATCCCAATCTGTTTCTGCCTATCTATCCCATACTTACTTTCTTTCTTTCTTTCTTTCTTTCTTTCTTTCACGGTGTATTTCTATCTATCTCGGGTTTTCTTTCTTTCTGTCTTCCATTCTTTCTGTCTTCCTTCCTTTCTTTCTGTCTTTATTTATTTTCTGTCTTTCTTTCTTCCTTCCTTCCTTTCTTTCTTTCTTTCTTTCTTTTATTCCCAGTATCTATCTATCTATCTATCTATCTATCTATCTATCTATCTATCTATCTATCTATCTCAGTCTTTTCTTGATTCTTATCAAGAGTGAGTGAGAGAAAGACAATAACTTCGTTTAAGTAATTTGTGAGAGAATATATATATGAGTCACCGAAAGAGAGAGAGAGAGAGAGAGAGAGAGAGAGCGTGAGTGTATCGATAAAAGAGAAAGAGGAAATGAATAAGAGAGCGTGTGTCTGAATAAGTGACAATGAGAGAAAAGGAGAGTGAAAGAGGAAGGGCGCATGAATGATTCCGAAAAAAAGTTCAAGTGGAAGAGTGTGAAGAGTGGGGCATAGTGTGTATGAGAGCGGGAAAAAGAGAGTGAAAGAGAAATATAGTGGGTATGTTAGAGAGAAAGTGAGGATAGCGAAAGAGAGTATTTTTATGTACCAAGTTCCTTGGGGACATGGGGGGGGGTCATGGCTCTCCATAACTTTCTCTCTTTTTTTAACTCAAATTTTTTTTTTTACCCTTTACAATCACACTTTGTTCCAGCTTCGTTAAGTATGTTACTCGATGTTTTTCTTTACCCCTCCTGCCTCCAGTATACCCTGTGAGTGTCAAATTATCTAAACCCTCTTTCCTCAGTATGTGTCCCAGAAATGTCCGTCTTCTTGCAAGGATACGTTTTTTTTATAGTTTCTGTTTTCGTTAGACTTCCTCATTGCTCATATGTCCTGTCCATTTTATCCTTAGCGTTCGTCGGTGCAACTACAGGGTGCGATGGATAAATTGTTGTCTAAAATGACGCTAAAATGAAAATAACATTGACATCTCATTTTAATAGATATACAGGGTGCGATGGATAAATTGTCGTCTAAATGACGCTAAAATGAAAATAACACTGACATCTCATTTTAACCGATATATATTACTAAAATCACACAAAAATATCTTGAAATAGTAAAGAGTGAATTTATTCCTTAAAATTGCCATTATTAGTTTCAGCTACGGCCTTCAGACGACTTCGGAATTTCCCGCAACTGTTCTGGACGGTCTCCTTGTTTAAGTTGGTGAATGCTGCCTTCAGTTGATCTTTGGTGTTACAAGGAGTATTTTTTTGCCTCTTGCTCAGCTGCACCCCACACATAATAATCAAAGTGGGTTTGCTGTCTGTGGAGTTAGGTAACCAGATGTAAGGGGGGATGTGTTCGCAGAAATTGCTCTGAGAGCCATGACTGGGTTCTCCTGCTTGTGTGACATGGTGCAGAGTCCTGTTGCCAGACATAGAGTCTTCCAGCAGCCATCTTCTTGATCCAGGTCAGCACTACCTCCGTAAGGCACGATGTAGGCCTCCGTGTTGAGTCTGAGTCCCCGTGAGAGGCTAAACAGAGGCATAACATCGCCATCACTAGTGATCAGTCCAAGCACCGTGATGTTGACTGGGTATAGCGTCCAACTCTTTTCGAATCTTCTGCCCTCATGTGTCTCTGGCTATGGACCCTGGTTCACTTGGAGGGATCGTTGTCTATCATGGTCAAGATCTCACTAACAAATTCTGGAGTTCTTTTCTTATCAGATGCACTACTTCCTCAATGCACTTGAGGCAGGCCACCGTGATGAGCCTGAGGTTCCCACAAACAAATTCCGGAGTTCTTTTTTTTTTTATCAGAACGATCAGAGTGAATTTTCCTTCGCACCTTCATAATCACCATTAGACTCGCCAAACTCTTTCCGGATCCTCTGTACTGTCATCAGATTGACAACCAAACACTCTGAAATGTTTGTATTGGAGTTTCTGGGTGCGAATGCCGAGCAGTACAGCACGGCGTTTCCAAATTTGTGGCGGGGTGAATTTCGTTATGGTATTCTTTTTCTCAGTCTGTGTCCAACAAAACTGTGCAATCGATAAAATCAAAGACAAAAAACGCGTTTTTTTTTTTTTTTTTTTTTCTTTGGACTTGGAATTGAACTCTGGACGATTGTTTTGAACAGCCTTGTTTTAATGTTCTTGGTTCTTTCTTTTTTATTCTCATTTTTTAAAAACGATTTGTTCTACTGCAATTTGAGCTGTCCGTGGTTTTTTCCAACGACTACCACCATTTATATAATTTATACCACCATAATATATATATATATATATATATATATATATATATATATATATATATATATATATATATATATATTGTTTGTAGAGCAAAAGATTTGTCCTGCAGGCACCTCTAAGCACCACATGATAGTGTATTTGAAATTTTGCAATTTCATATCCTGCTATGGCAACATAAAATACCGTTAACTGATATTCGCAACTGGACTACTACAGTTGAGGGACTTGAAATAGAATACAATAAAATGGAAAATACTTACGAATAATAGCGTGCTAAAGGTCAATACTTTGCTTAGCTTTTGGAAGGCCTCATTGCGCCTTGGGATTTCCGTGTCGTACTTTCTGTCCTTTGTTATACGCCTTCCAGATATCTAACTTTTTGCATCTGTTTGATTTCGGTATCATCAATCTGTAATTAGTCTGATCGAAACGGGACAGGGCGGCCAAATAAGCATCAAACATGGTACCCGAGGAAGGAAGGAAGGAAGGATTTTTTGATGAAAGTCTGACGGAATAATACATACAAAATTAGAATTTGGAAAGCGTTTTAGCTTGACGTGTTTTACCGATGAAACAGTAAAAGAAGAATAATGTTATTTTATAAGAACGGAATTTACGTTAACGAGACACAAAGGATTCCCGTAAAGCGGTTTGTTGTATTGGAATAAAGTGTCGCTCCCGACACTATAGTTTGAACATAGATCGCCAGTGAGCAAACCCAGGCGATCCCATTTCGAATAAATAGATCACGTGATCGCAAAGGAAATGTATATATGGGAATTAGCGTGGTGTCTAATCACCATTTAGTGTGGTGTCTATCACCATTTCTATTCTATTACTATACGGATCACCATTTCTATTCTATCCTCTATTACTATTCAGATCACCATTTCTAGTCTATCCTCTATTACGATATGGATCACTCTTTCTACGCTATCCGCTATCTCTATTCTACTCACTATTTCTCTATAGCGATTACTATACGGCGGCTACTATTCGAGCGAGTATTATCGAGCAAGTACTATTAATGCGAGGTTATTCGAAGGCGTCTAACACCAGTATTATCCAAAGGCGTTACTATAGTTGTATCTGCGATTACAAAGTCTCTACTACAACGAGCATTACAAAAGTGACAACGAGTATTCGTTGACATCAAAAAAGTGGCAACGAGTGTTCATTGACATCACAAAACGGCTAGACGCTTGATTTTAATTTTTTTTTTTTTTCACTAATTTTATCCAATACAAGCTTGGGTCATCTAGGCTAGGTCAGTGGATAGGCAAGCTGCTAGTTCTGGTCATCCAGACTTTTAGCGGTGCACATACAAACTGTTGTATCATCCGCATAGATATTCACTCAGACTCGGAATATGTTCTCAGGAAAAACATTAATTTGGAGGAGTTGCTGTCAAGCTTGGCTGCCTTGGCCGACATTGCCCTTTATTTATTAATCTCATTTTTTTCTTTTTTGTCCTGTACAGTTATTGGTAGTCCCGTTTCCACAGAATCTGAGTCTGTACTGCCCAGCACAGGGATTGAACTCACTAATTGGCGGCATAGAAATTGAGAAAAATACAATATCTACATTGGATTGGATACAATTTGTTACTTTTTGTCAGTCGGCAACCAGAATTAGTTCCTTTGATTTCCTCGACTTATCTTATCACGAGGAATACCGGCAAGCCCCAAAATATCCAACGACTCCAAAAGAATTATATGTCTTTCTATAGAACGGAATCATGGCAAATTGACTAAAGATTAATTCTTGCTTCCATTATCGTTGCGACTGGAAACTGATATCGGAACACCGACTGTAGAAAGCTTGCTAGGTTCTCAGAATGCATCGACAGTGAGCTTATTGAGTGCTTTGGGATTATAATCTTTTGCAAAGACTGTCTTAATCCATCAAGCACCCAGAATAAATTTTGCTTGCAGTCTACCGCTTATCTGAGACAAATACATATTTCAGATTTGTCCCGGTGGTCGATATTCGAACCTATGTAAAACTTCAACGATAGTAAGCAGAATTAAGTACATTTTAATCATGCATGTTTAAAGTACAAATCATTCATTTACTATATATATATATATATATATATATATATATATATATATATATATGTGTGTGTGTGTGTATGTATGAAGATATATAGTCTTAAGATGTGCCATATTTATGGGATAAAGTGCTCAATACCAGAGATAGATCGTGTGTAAATATAAAAGTGAACATTGAAGTCAACAGTCTGTTTCATGCTATATGCAATCGTCTAGTATGAAACAGACTGTTGCCTCTAAGTGTTGACTTCAATGTTCACTTATATATAGATATATATAACGTCATCCACAGACAGACTGTTTCGCCGCTCATCAGTGTGGCTAGACATCCGGTTGCCTCTAGCTAGGATAGAAACCCGATTGAATTGGTGTCAGTCGGAGATTCTAACCATTAAGCCGTCGGCGCACGGTAGGGATGAAAGTGGATTTTTAGCGTATTTATTTTTAGAAACACGCCCAGTGACCGACAGTGACTCAATTCGCATCTGCGAAGAGTCTCGCTATATAGCTATAATAGTCACTGTTTACCAACCCACACCTCGTCCCCAGAGAGCTCAACTGAAATTGATATTTCAGGAGCCAATATATATATATATATATATATATATATATATATATATATATATATATATATAGAGAGAGAGAGAGAGAGAGAGAGAGAGACGGACAGACAGACAGACAGACAGACAGACAGACAGAAAGAGAATTAAAGCCCTTCGTAAGGTGTGGGCTGTACTCGTGAGAACAATTTTTTTTGTATTTGTTTAAGGCATAGTCTATCAGGAATCCCTTCGATGAGTCTACTGGAATCTTTTCCAATAAATACGAGGGTTTCATCTACAACAGAGATTCTTGATGTTCTCATGTGCCACATAAAAGAATGCCTTATTATTATTATTATTATTATTATTATTATTATTTTCTCTCCTGGTCTACCTGTTGCAATTGCACTTAAGTTTTGATTTTTAAGTCTTTGATTAATTTAAAAATATTTGTCCACGGATAGATGCACTTATTGTTTTTGCAACCTTACTGCTCATTTCGGTGACGAGAGAGAGAGAGAGAGGAGGTTCGAGAAAGGGTGACTGGGGCCAAGAATAACCGCGATAAGTCATCAGTTTGTTCTTCAACTAATAAGAAGTCAAAATTTCAAGCTCAGTAAAGTCGAACTATCTTGGCTACCTGTAAAAATGTATGGGCGGGAGGGAGACCTTTTATGAAAACGCGTTTCATTCATTCAGGAACTTTATCAAAGCTAGTATAGTAGTTTTATTTCAGGACCTGTTTTTATAAACAGGAAAAGGTACGCCGAAAAAAAGATAATATTATGCCTTTAGATTTGGATTACAAAACGCTATAAAATATTCCAAATTCTGTCAACATTAATGAATGGTAAGACTTTGACGGAAGGTCTTTAGGTATATCAAACAAAAATGACTTTCGTCCCTGGTATGATGATAAACTACATCCGCGTACTGGGTAAGACGATGAACGACGTCCGACGGCAAGGCCATTGAACAGAAGGTTTTAAGGGCGTGGAACCACCTCTTAAATGCTGGTGTTCCTAGATCCATCCAGAACTGGGGTAGTAGCAACTGTCAGGATCCTAGCTATAGGCAAATATTTACCCCCAAAGAAGGGGTCGAAATTCTATGAAAGTATAAAAATAGATTTTAATAACAGCAATACTTTTTTTGGAAAAATTCTTACCAGCAGTATATTTTTGAAAAAGAAAAATATTACCAACAATATATTTTGGAAAAAAAAATTACCAACTATACACTTTTAAGGAAAAAATATTACTAGCAATACATTTTTGGAAGAAAAATATTAGCAGCAATACATTTTTGAAGGAAAAAAATTATTACCAGCAATATATTTTTATAAGAAAAATATTACCAGCAATACATTTTTGAAGGAAAAATATTACCAGCAATATATTTTTGAAGGAAAAATATTAGCAGCAATACATTTTAGAAGGAAAAATATTACCAGCAATACATTTATGAAGGAAAAATATTAGCAGCAATATATTTTTGAAGGAAAAATATTAGCAACAATACATTTTTGAAGGAAAAAAAATATTAGCAGCAATACATTTTTGAAGAAAAAAAATATTACCAGCAATACATTTTTGAAGGAAAAATATTAGCAGCAATATATTTTTGAAGGAAAATATATTACCAGCAATACATTTTTGAAGGAAAAAAATATTAGCAGCAATACATTTTTGAAGGAAAAATATTACCAGCAATATATTTTAGAAGGAAAAATATGAGTAGCAATACATTTTTGAAGGAAAAAAATATTAGCAGCAATGCATTTTTGAAGGAAAAATATTACCAGCAATACATTTTTGAAGGAAAAATATTAGCAGCAATATATTTTTGAAGGAAAAATATTAGCAGCAATACATTTTTGAAGGAAAAAAATATTAGCAGCAATACATTTTTGAAGGAAAAATATTACCAGCAATATATTTTAGAAGGAAAAATATTAGTAGCAATACATTTTTGAAGGAAAAATATTAGCAGCAATATATTTTAGAAGGAAAAATATTAGCAGCAATACATTTTTGAAGGAAAAATATTACCAGCAATATATTTTAGAAGGAAAAATATTAGCAGCAATACATTTTTGGGTGAAAAATATTACCAGTAAATCATTATTACCTTATTATTACATATTTTCTGGAAAGGCATGCGTATCTCGTTTGGATAGCTCCAGAAACACAATCTCCATGCCTCACAATATTCTGTGGAAAATTGGTTTTATTATTTTGAAAAGCCAGGATTTTAATTCTAGATATAAAGTAGTAATCTAAATTTGATTTAGATTTAATTTTAGATTTAATTTTGATTTAAAGTAATAATCTCCCTAACCTAAAGAATTGCCACTACGCAATTTTCCAGCCTCATATTAGCCATTCATCAGATCATAATACGACTTCTCAGGACTACAAATACTGCAAGGAAGCCTGTGAGGTGCGAAAGTAAATCGAAACATCAAAGATGGCGACACTAATTCGAACAATCTGAATGAATAAGCGTCTGTCTGTTCGTGAGTCTGATATCCCTCTAACTCGCAATACACCTGCCCTACATAAACATATTATACCTTTTTTTGAATTTTTTGATCCCGGAATTAAAAATCTGCACTTCATATGCTGCTTCAACATCCAACATTGGGATTTGTATCCGGATGAGGAAGGAACACTTAAGGATTCAAATTTAAAATAACTGAAAAAAATTAGTGATTTTAAAAGTTTTTGATTTATATTGAGTTTAAAGTCACACAAAACTTTGTGAATTTATTTATTTTTTTTAAAATTCAGCTTAAAATAATATCTCCAAAACATTGAATAGGGGAAAACAATTTTAATTCCTTCAAAGTGTCAAGGAATCGGTGTTAAATTGAGAGGTTTTGTGATGTGAGGTTTTGAAGTTCCGCAGAGTTTGTGATTTGAAGAACTCTTTTTCGGCATTCCTGAATTGAAATTTCGCCCCAACTAGGCGTTTCATTCCCCCAAATCGGTCTTTTAGCTCAAATCGGTCTTTTGGTCCAACTCGGCCTTTTGGCCCAAATCGGTATTATTGCCCAAATCGGCCTTTTGGCCCAAATCGGTCTTTTGGCCCAACTCGGCCTTTTGGCCCAAATCGATCTTTTGGCCCAACTCGGCCTTTTGCCCCAAATCGATCTTTTGGCCCAAATCGGTCTTTTGGACCAAATTGGTCTTTTGGCCCAAATCGACCTTTTGACCGGAATTGGACTTATATCCCGAATCAGACTTAAAATGAGATTTTGAACTTCCATGGAATGAATTGAGAACAAAGTTATTTCTTCAAAATTATCATTGCTGTTTTCTAAGCTGGACTAGTAGTCACTTTTTACTTTCGGGCTGGAGATCGAGTTAGGCCTCCGTAGGAGCTAGCCTGAAAGTCTGCAAGGAGTGTGGGTTTAAAGCTAGTTCATAGATAAATGGCAACATTTCGTTTCAAAACTTTTCTGCTAACTTTAAACATCACATAAAAAAACAAGCTGGATTTTTAATTATCAAAAGAACAGAGACAAAGATAACAGACATAATGATTGATGAAATAATGACAATATATCTTCATAAGTATCAGGAATACCGAAAAGCACACTTGTAAAAGCATTATGATCAAAACAACAAAGATTGCGATACTCGTTCGAATAATTAATTGGATAATCACAATATATCTTCTAAAACTTAATAAAGTTTAAAAGCACATCCGCAAAAACAACTGAGATGAAGATACTAATCAGAATGATTCATGGAATAAATATATCTCCTGAGATATTAGGAAAACAGAATAGAACATTTGCTAAAGCATAGTGATCAAAACAACAAGGATGTGGATATTAGTCTGAAGAATTCATGGAATGATGACCACCTTTCATTTCGAAATTTTGGACCACAAGAAATGATTTAGTTTCCTCTCGTTAAATTGCAGAGCATCTGCTTGGAATATGAACAGATTGCGGCATCCAGGTGAAAAATATCTGGCGCTAAACAATCTTCGAAATAAACAGAGATGCACACTAAAATTTGTACTGAACGAAAAAAATAAAAGAACACGTGGCTCCATTTTTTTTTTGTTTCACCTCAAAACCCCACCAGTGGAGCCGACATTCGAAGATCAATGAACAACTTTCAGACATATATCGATAAAAGGAAACATAAAAAATGACTATGTCCCTCAACGCTAAATAATCAAATCTCTTTTTTTTTGTTTCCAAATAAATCGTTGTTTTGTTTGGACAACGTCCATTAAATTTATTGATATTGAAATACACTTACTGTGAAAAAGCAGAAGACAACCATGACACTTTACAGCAATTGCAAATAAATGATATTAAAGTGAAAAATAACAAGCAAGAACAGAAACAGCTGGGAAGGTCTTTAATCATTATACATGAATGTATTTATCTGGATGAATAACGGATTTCAAACAGGTAGAGAGAAACGAAATACAAGGTTATATAGTTACATACAAATTGGGGATATTAAGGGTTCACTTGGACATATAGTGTACTTTAGCTGAGGAATTGGTATCGATTAGTAAATACTCAAACCTATGTATATTTTTACTGTCATTATAGATAGATAGATAGATAGATAGATAGATAGATAGATAGATAGATAGATACTGGAGAAGAAAGAAAGAAAGAAGAATCAAAGAAAGAAAGAAAGAAAGAAAGAAAGAAGGAAGGAAAGAAAGAAAGAAAGAGGGAAAAAAAGAAAGAAAGAAAGAAAGAAAGAAAGAAGATCTAGAATAGATATGTAGAAACAAATTGGGCTTGATAGAAAAAAGATTTAGATAGATAGATACTACAGAAGAAAGAAAGAAAGAAAGAAAGAAGAAAGAAAGAAAGAAAGAAAGAAAGAAAGAAAGAAGAAAGAAAGAAAGAAAGAAAGAAAGAAAGAAAGAAAGAAAGAATGGATAAGTAGAAACAGACTGAACTTGATAGATAGAAAAAGATTTAGATAGATAGATAAATAGACAGACAGACAGAGAAACAGACAACAAGAGACAAACTGGGAAAGAAATAAAGAAACTAACAAAAAATTCTGTTCGCTGTGTCTATATCAGAAGTATATATATATATATATATATATATATATATATATATATATATATAGAGAGAGAGAGAGAGAGAGAGATAGATAGATAGATAGATAGATAGACGAAATAGATAGATGATAGATATGATATGAAGAAGCTTAGATAAAGATATATATATATATATATATATATATATATAGATAGATAGATAGATAGATAGATAGATAGATAGATATGACAGAGAGGAGTTAAATAAAAAATAAAAGAAATACTCAAGATGGAATACTCTTTATGAAATTCAGGACACGTTAGACGATACTCGATGCTTCATCTCAGCAAATCACATAACTTAAGGATATTTTGAGCCCATTTTCTGTGTGGGTCATAACACGGACAGAGAATGTATTCAAAATATTCATATATCACCAACCAGCCTTCACCGGACAATATCTCGACATCAATTTCCACCATGCATGCAGTGTGAAGAAAGTGATCATTTTAATGTCTACAACACCTGGCAAAAATTATAAGTGGCGTCCCGGACACATACCAACAAGAAAGGATGAGTATCAAAGTACCCTTCAGAATAGCAACTACCCGGCAAACACAACATCAGCGTCACCAGGTAGAAACAGAAGAGACGAGAAGGATGGCTAGAAAATTGTCGCGGAGAGTCTAACTTACGCCAAGCTCTGAACGGGAAAGATTAAGATCTGCGATGCATAAAACATCAAGACAATATTCAGTTCCAATCTACTTTGAGCGTTACAGAACATGACCAAGAATTGCGTGTACACTATTCTTTGCAGTTGAGGCAAAGAACATAAAGGTGAAAGAAGCCGACCCCTAAAATTAAGCCCGGAAGATCACCATAAAGCCGTAGTGAGGAGTGAGACAATGAAATCAGGCATAGTTGATCATGTACGGAGGGAAAGGGGTAATCAGCAGCCTCTGTGGAATGAAATGAAAATACAGGACAAGGAAGAACACTGGAGAGTTAGACTGGGCTTTGGGAATCTCCTAAGTAGGCCTAGCATAGTAATAAATTCAATATAGGAGCCGCTAATAAAGAAAGAAAAAGACTTTAACCGTAGTCAAAACATAACAGACAGCAACAGCAGCTGCAGCTTCATCAGCAATCAGGTTAAGTTTAATGATCTAAGTTCACAACAAATTGTCAAATATTGGTTTGGTGACATAGTGATTGTAAGTTCAATCCCAGGGTCGGACAGCGTATAGTTGCAGTCAGTGGAAACGGGCGAGCAATAATTAAAGAGTGTTAACTACAAATAAGAACTAGACATGATCAGTCGAACGAGAACAGTTCACTCCCGTAGATTGAATAAAGGGTTCAGTTTTGAATTCCCTGTGAGTTATCCAGATCAATTTATATCTGAGGAAGGATAACAGCAACAAAGATGCGGACAATAGTCTGAGTATAAATAGTGTACATCAGGAAAGATTAATTAATCAAATGACAAGGCTTTATCTAAGAAATTAACACAGGACGACTACTACTAGGTGTAAAGAAGCAAGAGAATTCTGATATTTGTTTAGAGATCCTTGATAAGATCCAAAGAATCTACAGTGTTATTGGTCCTGACCTAGCATCTCGGCTTCAGTCACTTTCCCACCGCCATAACGTATCTTCCCTGTTCCTTCTATATATATATATATATATATATATATATATATATATATATATATATATATAATTATGTATTTAAAAATATGATTCCAACTCGCGACATAAGAGTTCTCATGTTTCAAAACAAGAGCCGAAAACTTCAATATAATTATTTGAATTAAATTGAGTTAAAGTAAGCTCTGTTCCATCTTCAAGCGATTTTTTTTGGGGAATAACTTATTTCTGAAATTTACGTGTTTTAATAGTTATTAATAATTGAAATCAAAATTTCCATGGTAACAGCTAGGGCGAATTGTTTAAATTGGGTGTGTTGGGTGTTAATAATAAGTATCAGTATAGAGTTACTTTCCTATTTTCTATATATTTTCACATATATATATATATATATATATATATATATATATATATATATATATATATATTCATGGTAATTGTTCTGATGAGATTCGCTTTCAATCACTTTCCTACCGGCGTAACACAGCTTCCCTGCGTCCTTTCTACATTTTTTTCTGATGAGCTTTCTTTCTTGGTACCTCGATTTTATGAATTTAAGCGCAGAACTAGATTGGCAACTAGGTCTCATCATTTTTCAGTTGAAATGGCTACATGTAACCGTAATTTCTATGTTAACAGTTTCTTCTCCCGCACTTCTCGCTTGTGGAACTCTCTTTTGCCTTCTTGCATTCCAGTCAACTTTGATCAGCAAAAGTTTAAATGCAATGTCAATCGTTATCTTCTGTCTTCTTAATTCCTGTTCTTTTATTGTTCTCTCTCCTTAATAATGTTTTTTCTTCTTTTTTTTTTCACATTTTGTTTACTTTGCTTTATTACCTTGCTTAGGGCGATATGATTTTTAAAAAAATGATGTAAGAAATACTAGTCAACAATGAATAATAATAATAATAATAATAATAATAATAATAATAATGTTTTAACTGAGAAATTCGCGTAAATTTCTGAAGTTCTTTGATTTGGGCGTAGCCAATACGTGACGTGGGTGTGGTATGTTCTGCTGGAATCCATGCACTCCATCTTCTTGTACTTAATGGTCATTCCATTTCATTCTTTTTGCATTCCTTCACTACCGAGTCTTATAATTCTCTCAGTTTTCTTTTTGAATCTGCTAGAATCATAAGTGTCATTCGCCGACAACAAATTATCGTGATTCTCCTGAGAGGAAGCTCTTAGACTCATCTCGCTGTACAGGTTTTCATATGAAAAAAAGAATATCCCTCCCACACTTCAATTTCTAATACACTAAACTCGTTCTCTATCGGCAAGCTTATGTAGAGAACCTTGATAATAAAATCCAAAGAATCTGCAATATTATTGCTCTTGACCTGGCAGCTAGGTTTCAGTCACTTTCCCTCTGTCAAAACCTATCTCTCCGTTGCCTTTTCTATAAATACTTTCATGGCAATTTTTGTGATGTGCTCTCCGCTTTAGTACCTAGACTTTACGAATTTAAGCGCAGTACTAGATTGGATAAAAGGTCTTCTCATTTTACAGTTGAAATCGCTAGATTTAACCGCAAGTTCTATGTTAAAATTTCCTTCCCTCGAACTTCTCGCTTGTGGAACTCTCTTACGGCGTTATCTTCTGTTTTCTTGATTTCTGTATTTTCATTTTCCCACCCCTTAATAATGTTTTCTTTTTCTCAAATTCTTGCACCCTCAGTAACACCTTGCGTCTTAGTGGCTTTATTGCCTTGCTTTGGGTGAAATGATTACAAAAAAAGCTATTTGCTACCAGTAAAACTTAGATGTAAGTTTTCCTTTATTTTTATTTATTTTATTTTTTTAGATAGATATTAGGGTTTTGTTGCTACGTCGGTACAGTTGAGTTACACTCATTCCCTTCGTATTCCATTTGTAAGGAAGAAGTTCCAGTCAGAAAGCTTCTTCCAAGAAACGCTACATTGTGGAATAGATTTCCGAGTGGATGTTTTCCTGAAAACTAGAATCTTAACCTCTTCAAGTCTAGCGTCAATGGTTATGATTATGCTAAACTCTTAGGAACCCCTTCTTTAATTACGAACTATTTCGTAATTTGCCTTGCTTTGTAGTGTTTTTCTTTACCTAACGTTTCATTATATTTTTTAAAAAAGTTGTTTTTTTTTTGGAGGGGGGAGGTTATAACCTGTAAAACACGTAATGTATATAATGTTCATATGTGGACAGACAGTTACGTACGAGACATTTGCGTCCCAGACAACTGTGTACCAGAGAATTGTTTATCCGGACATTTGCGTCCCTATAACAAATGCGTCCCTGGACATTTGCGTACCTCTGATAATTTTTTGAAGTTACCATACTTTCTTTTTTTAAGACTTGCTAATTGCAAACCAACTTTTAATTGTTCTAAACAATCAAAAAGGTAGTTGGCATAAATTTTGAAAGACAAAAAAAAAAAACATTTTTAAAGAGTTATTTAATACAGAAATTTTCACACTAATACGTTTAATTATTCTACACAAGCAGAAAGGTAATTAACATAAATTAAAAAAAAAAATAGAGATAAAAATTCATTTTTTAAAGCAAGAAAAAATTAAACTAGCAGTTTCAGTTCACTCTAGCAGTGTGTACCACAAACATTTAATAGATTCTGGATTTTATAGATTATATTTTATTTGGACTTTATGTCTAAGTTCCGAAATTCAAATACTGGTGGAAAAATATTTGTGGACGAGAAAAATTACTGCTACCACAATCTTAAGAAAAACGCTGAACCCTTTATTTCGCTCGCTGGGGTAGACTGATCTAGTTCCACGTGCCATGTCTAATGGATGTCAGTTATCTGTTATCTCTTGTAAATTCCCCTCTCCATGTTCTCAACCGCCTTAACCAGGTATTGAACTCACACTCTTTGGGTCCTGTCACTGGATCTAACTAACGCCTTTATCCACTGTGCCATATGTCCTTGATAACTGACACCCATTAGACATGGCACGTGGAACTAGAACAGTCTACCCCAGCGAGCGAAATGAAGGTTTCATTTCGGCATTCCAATCATCTGAAGAAGGCTGGAGCGTACAACGGCCGAAACGTTGTGATAAATATGGAAACAAAGATGAGGACGATAGTCCGAACAATGTAAATAATTATTTACCACCTGCCCTACGCAGCAAGATGTGGCACAAGGCTGAGTTTAAAGGGTGTTATCCGAATGTAAATAGGTCGACATCAGTCCGGTTTACACTGTAGTCAAAAATGTATATATAGGTCCATTTTACACTAGTGTTAAAAAGTTACACATTGATCTACCAGTAAAGTGGCTCTTTATATTTTTGGTGGGTTATACTCCACTGTATGGGATACAGTCGGCGTATTCTAAGCCCCACCGACAGATAAAGGGTGTAGTAATTTTTCAAATCAATAAGATCGTTTTTACAGAGGTAGCTCTTGGCAAAAGACCTCCTTCAAATTCCACCATACGTACATAAAGAATAAGTTTTTTTTCGTATCTTAAACCTGGTAAAAGCGCTGATATCTGGAACGGTTGGGAAAGATCTGATTCTGCTACTCATCAGAAAGGTCTTTATTGGAATCATTTCAAAAGTTAATCTTAGTTACTGTTGTCAGTAAGATGGAATACTTCTGATGAATTTATTATGAATGATGCTTAACTGAACTGAATTGGCTCCAGGATAAATGTTGCTAAGCCGACCAAGCGATGAAGACAGTATCGTTGCGAAGGTAACGACTGAAATCCGCCATATGCAGGTTTAAATTTGAACCCATGTCGGAAATGTCGGAAAGAAAGTGAAAATGAAGAGATGTGGAAGAAAGCTGGGAAAGACAAGTGAAAAAAAAAACAAAGATAAGAACAGAGGAGGTTAAAAGAAAAAATTGAAAAAAAAAAAAGAAAAAAGAAAAAAAAGAAAGAAAGAAAGAAAGAAAAAAAGTTTTAAAATTTTAAATAAAAAGAAAAGAAAGAAAGAAAGAAAAGAAAGAAAAGAAAGAAAGAAATGAGATTTAAAAAGAAAGAAAAGAAAGAAAGAAAAAGAAAGAAAAGAGATAAAAAAAAGAAGTTGAAAGAAAAAAGAAATGAAAGAAAGAAAGAAAGAAAGAAAAGAAAGAAAGAAAAGAAAAGAAAATATGAAAGAAAATCAGAAATAAAGAATTTAAAAGAAAGAAAGAAAAGAAAGAAAGAAAGTTCAGAGATTTAAAAAAAAAAAAAAAAAAAAAAGAAAGAAAGAAAGAAAGAAAAAACTCAAAAAGAAAAAAATGAAAGAAAGAAAGAAAAAAGAAAGAAAGAAAGAAAAAAGAAAGAAAAAAATGGCGAAAAAGAAAGCAAAATGTATAAAAGAAAAGAAATAAATAAAAGAAAGAAGAAAAAAAAGAAAAAAAGAAAAAAAAAAAGAAAGTGAAAGTCAAAGATTTATAAAAAAAAAGAAAGAACAAAAATTTTAAAAGGGATTAAAAAAAAGAAAGAAAGAATTTGAAAAAAGATTTAAAAAAGAAAGAAAAGAAAGAAAAAGGATTTATAAAATTGTTAAAGAAAGAAAGAAAGAAAAAAAGAAAGAAAGAAAGAAAAAAAGAAAAAAACCATGAGGTTTTATAAGAAAAAAAAAGAAATTTTGAAAGAATTAAAGAAAGAAAAGAAAGAAAAAAAAGAAAAAATGAGACATAGGAAAGGAAAAAAAAAACAAAAAAAAAAGAATAACGAAAGGGATGAAAATAATTTTAAGATTTTTTTTTAAGAGAAAAAAAAATGAAAACAGAAAGAAAAAACAAAAGCGGAAAAGATAGAGAGAAAAAATGAAAGAAAGCAAAAAAATGTAGAAAAAAGAAAACGCAGAAAAATAAGGAAATATAGAAGAAAGAAAAAGAATAATTTAGAAAAAACAAAAATAGACTGAGATAGATAGATAGATAGATAGATAGATAGATAGATAGATAGATACTGCGAAAGAAAAAATAAAGAAAGGAAAATGTAATGAGGGATAAATAAAGCCAGAAAAGAAAATGAAAGGAAAAGAGACTAATGCAGGAAAGAAAGTAAAGATGAAACAGAGGAGAATTAAAATAATTTTGAAGAAGAAAAAGAAAAAAAGAAAAGACAAGAAAAAAAAAAAAAAAGAAAGAAAAAAAAATTTAGAAAAAAAAAAAATAAAAAAAAAAAAAAAGAAAGGAAAAAAAAGGAACAAAAAAGAAAATATTTTTAAATATAAAAAAAATATTTAGAAAATATAATAAAATATATACTTATATATATAAAATATATATATAAAATATTTAAAATATTGTATTTTCAACACAAACTTGATAAGACACAGAGTGTGTTGAAACAAAATATATATTTTTGTAGTGATTTTATAACATACTTATGTTATGAAATTTTTTTTATAAAAATAATTATATCTGCTCTACTTTGTATTGATAGATTTTAAGAATAGTAATTGTTGGTTATTGGAATTCATTTGTGTATACTAATTATATTTTTTGATATATATATATATATAAATATATAAATATATATATATATAATTTTCATATATATATATATATATATATATATATATATATATATATAGATAGATAGATAGATAGATAGTAGATAGATAGATAGATAGAATTATGAACAGACTGAGATGGATAAATAGAAATAGTAAAGAAAAATGAAAAAAGAAAATAGTAGGAAATAAGCAAAATAAAAGCCAAACAGGAAGGATTATTTTTAAAGAATGAAAGAAATTCTTGGCGGAAAAAAAGAAAAATGGAAAAAAGAAAGGAAAATTAAAATAGAAAAAGAAGAAAAAAGAAGAAAAAAGAAAGATGGAAAGAAAAGAAAGAAAAAAAAGAAAGAAAGAAAGAAAGAAAGAAAGAAAGAAAGAAAGAAAGAACAGCGGAAAAGAAAAACGGAAAAGAAAGAAAAAAGGAAAGAAAAATATTTTAAAGATTTTGAAAATAAAAAGCGTGATTTAGATAGATAGATAGATAGATAGATAGATAGATAGATAGATACATAGATACATAGATAGATAGATACTAGGAAAGAAAAATGACTGAAAGAATAAGTAAGAAACAAAGCCAGAAAAGAAAATGAAAGAAAAATAAAGATATGCGGGGAAAGAAAGAAGGAAGAAGAGAGAGAGAGACAGACAGAGGAGGATTAAAATAGATTTTGAAGAAGAAAAGCCGAGATTATAGATAGATAGATAGATAGATAGATAGATAGATAGATAGATAGATACCAGGAAGGAAAAAGAAAGAAAGATAAAGTAAGAAAGGAAAAATTACGCTAGAAAAGAAAGTGAAAGGTAAAGAAAGAAATTCAATAAAGAGAGAAAGAAAAAGAAAGTCAGAAAGAAAAAGAGATAAGAGAATTAAAATAGATTTTGAAGAAGAAAAACCGAAAGAGAAAGAAAGAAAGAAAGAAAGAAAGAAAGAAAGAAAGAAAGAACTGGAGAAAGTAAGAAAGAAAGTAAAAAATGCAGAAAATATGAAAAGAAAACGGAAAGGACAGAAACAAAATTTGGAAAAAGAAAGTTTTGAACTGTTGCAAAAAAAAAAAAATGCAGAAAATGAAAAAAAAGAAAAGAAAGGAAGAATGGAAGAAAGAAAACGAAAAGAAAAAACAAAGAAAATTTAAGGCTAGAAAGAAAGAAAGAAAAGAAAGAAAAAAAAGAAAAAAAAGAAAAAAGAAAGAAAGAAAGAAAAGAAAGAAAGAAAAAAAGAAAAAAAGTGGATTTAAAAAAAGATAAAAAACAACATAAAAAAAAAAGACTGAACCTGGATCAAAAAGAAAGAAAGAAAAGAAAGAAAGAAAGAAAGAAAAGAAAGAAAATTAAAAGAAAAAAGAAAGAAAGAAAGAAGGAAAGGCAAAAAAGAAAGAAAGAAAAAAAGAAAAAAGAAAGGAAAGAAAAAAGAAAGAAATAAAAAAAAAGAAAGAAAGAAAGAAAAGAAAGAAAGAAAGAAAGAAAGAAAGAAAGAAAGAAAGAAAGTCGGTCTTTAAAAAGATAAAAAAAACAGCATAAAAAGAAAGACTGAACCTGGATCATAAAGAAAGAAAGATAGAAAGAAAGAAAGAAAGAAGGAACAGCAAAAAGTGTCTCAAGAAAAGCAAGCTTAAAAAAGACGGAAATGGCATTCGAGCAGTTCAGATAATGACATCTAACTGTGAAAATACAGAAAAATAGCAACAAATGTCAAACCAGTCACAAACGACGGACAGCCAGACAGACATGCGCTCACACACAGAGAGAGAGAGAGAGAGAGAGAGAGAGAGAGGGATGTGAAGGGAGAGAAGGAAAAAAAAAGAAATAGAGAGAGAAGGATGTAACAAAGATATAAACAAAAATATACGAGTC